CCCCATGGCTTCCCTGCCTGCCCCAGCTCCTGGATCTTAAAAAAAAAGTCCTGACTCACCAGCTCCTGCCTGGTGGGGGGGGGGCTATCCCCACTGCCCCCCACTGCCCTCCGCTATGCGGGGGGCTCTGTTACAAGCCCCAAGAAGCCCTGATGGCCACTGCAGCAGCTGGCAAGTCTGGGTTTTTTTGTTTTTTCTATAGGGCTGGGAGCTGGGGCTGGGTGGGGCAGCCATGAGGTGGGGGGAGTGTTGAGATAGAGCGTGGGACTCGAGGGGCATTCTGGGGTGCTGGGGGATCAGGTAGGGGATGGGGCCTGGCAAGGGTGCCCCCATGGTCCCCTCCCCCCTCCTCCAGCCCTCCTCCTTGGCTCCCTATTTACCAGGACCGAGTCCAGGTCCAGCTTCCTGTTGCAGCCAGTGGGGGACTGCCCAAATCTCTGAAGCTCTCTGAATCTTTTCTGAATCAAATCGGAGAGCTTCAAATTGATTTGGACCTTTTAATTGGTCCCCTGATTTGATTCGGATTCAGAGATTCGGCCACTGAATTGGGCCAAATCTCCTCCGAATCAACTCAGCACCTGAAGCTTTGCACAGGCCTACTATTAGGTAGATTTCTTTTGAGCACAAGAATAGGTCACATAGAGTGGTTGTTCTGTGAGAAATGTGATCCTGATCATGTGTGCATCTCTGTCCTTTACAATCTGTTCTGAGTGGCCATACTGCCTTTGAGGGAGAAGCTTAAGAAATAGAGTATCTAACAGGAGAGTTGCCCCCATCTATTAGATCATGTGGATTCTTTCCTACAGCCTTAAGTTCCTAAACCCTCATCCCCTGGCTGCAGGATAGGAAATGGAGACACGGATCTGCTTCCGTCCAGGTAGCCGGATCTGATCATAGCCAGAGCATCTTCATGAGACATGTAAATCTCTACAGTAAATGTGGAGTTGCCTCCGGTGTCTATACTTACAGCCCTATTGGGCCTCAGGAAATTAATAAAATCTGCAGCAGGTTAGTGCTTGTAAATACAAATATTATTCTGCTGAAGTTTTTTCATGCACAGCAACACACATGTAGACACTGACAGAGCTGGCTGGGGCACAAAGGTGCTTCAGTGCAGGGGCTGCCTACTGGCTAGTCCCACACTAAAGCAGCCTAGTGCCCCAGGCAGTCCCTGTGCAGCCCTGGAGCTCTTGGCTAGCCAGGGCTGCTCCAACACAGCTCAACCTGCTGTGATGTGTAAACATGGTGCTCAGGAGCAATAAACTCTGATGCAGTATGTGCTGGACTTTATTGCTGCCCATTGATATGTACATGTAGATGTTCCCAGAGAATAGGAGGAGTAAACAATATTTGTGTCCACTCTTTGGGTGTACCACGCAAGAGTTGGGTGGGCTGGGGAGGAAGGGAGGGAGTGGGAATGACTACTGTATGTAAGTGTGAAAAGAAAATCCTAATCTAGCCCCAAGGAAGGTAATAAATATGTGTAACCCATCACCTAGGTGTGTGGCTCTCATCCTGCCTAAACAGCAACAGGTAATAGGCAGTTTAACTGACAACAATACAAAATAAAAGGATATACTGCAAACTAACAAAAAAGAAGACATTTAAAGTATCAGAGACTGAATTCCAACAATCAGCACAAAATTTAACTGTCAAATCAAACTCAAAACTGCTTTGAGGTTTAGAAGAGTACATTTGCACTTCTTCATTGCAGTGGAAAGAATGTGAAATAGGATATTCTTGCCACATTTCCAGACCTGATGAAACCAGGAGGTATTGAAAAAAAAAAATTCATGTGATTTCAGACTCAGATTTCACACAGGCTTACCCAAAATGGGTTTTGCTATTGTTGATGCTTTAGTGTAACAAATTGGTATTATATTTAAATTACGGTATCGCCCTGTATTACTACTATGCTTTGAAGGAAGAGCATGCACAGAGGCTTTCTTCTCTTTCTTTCTTACCCCTTGTGCTACTGGCAATAGATTAGGGCATACTACATTTTTTTCAATCCCAAAATCATTCACTGGGACCACAGCATAATGGATCTGATAACTGACTACGTTCTTATAGCACACTATCTTGGAATGGTTCAAACATGAATTCTCCCTTATAGTTATATCATTATCCAGTAACAGGCACTGGAAAAGGCAAGTACCTGTCCTTCCTTAAACAACATTTATGGAGAACTGCCAAGTGTACTGTTCCCATGCATTTGTGTCCCCATGCGAGTCAAGAAGAATGACTCAGGATTCCTATATAGTTGGTGTGGTACTGAGGTCAGCCCTGGTGCCCTAGGGAAATGAAGGTGGAATTTGTCTTAAAGACTGTATCCTGAAAGAGGAGTGTTTGGAATTAGTGGACTTATACAGCAGATTCATCACCATTTCTTTACAAATTAAAGCCTACTTACAAGTTAGTGCACAACTAAAACTTGTGTGACTGATTGTGTTAGAACAATGGCTCGTTTCAGGTACATTCCCTTCCCATCTGAATGGCAAAGGTTATTAATAAAGACAGACACTGCAACTAATAAAAATATATTTAATTATTTTTTCATAAAAATAGGTTCTTCTTAAAAAATGTGAAATGTGGTGGATCTTTGGTTATGAAAACAACAGTCATCAGGATTTGTTTTTCCCTTTTTCTTTCCTTTGGAAAAGAAAGGGGTAGGGTAGAGGTTGGGGAAAAAAAAGAAAGAAAAAGGCAAGCAAAACATTCCCTTCCAAAAACCAAATAACTGGATGTTTTTTTTTTTACCAAAAACTTGCAAACATTTCCTACATTAGGCATTTCAGGGAAAATGAAAAACAAATACATTATGGCTCCTCCTTCCCCCAGTTTTGTTTCCAATATTTTCTTGCATACTGCACACCTTCAAATAACCCAGACACCCTGTTTTTGAAAAGCAGAATGTAGGGGGAAAAAGTTTTTTCCAGAGTCATGGCCTAGAGCTGGCTTTTTACATGGATAAGCTATGTTGCAAAGTGGCTACCTGCTTCTCTCTTAGCCAGCAAGCAGACAGCAGCTGTGAACGGGTTACCACTGACAGCCATTTTGCATCACAGCATCGTTATACTTCTGTTCTGGCAAAGTAAACCAGCTCCCCATATAAGACACACCCCCCAATTTGGGAGGGCTGATATTTGGGAGAAAAATGTATATGTGATCTGCAAGTAAATATGGTAATAAAATCTAAAGACATCAACGCATAGACATCACATGATAGAAAATCACTATGAACAGATTTAGAGAAACAGTGAGCAAAATAAAAAAGTATTTGAACCAGTGTTTCTATTGTTATTATTTCACTAACAACCAAGGGCCAAATTAGGAACCAAGATTCTACTATGGTAAGTACTATATAAACATACAGTGGTGTATTCTAATACCCTAAAACCACTTCTTCTGGCATAGTCTTATCCTACTCTTACTAGTCCTTATCTTTTGAACAATACTTATCATTGCCACTTAAAATAATTTCATTAATAATCAGTTATAGGTATATCTTAAAAGGTTAATACCCTGCGATTGGATGTTGCTTTGTCCACTGGGGTGCATCCACTGGGGTGCAACCGTGAGGTATGTGGCACCGCAAACACATCTGCAGCGCCACATACTGAACAGTCAGGTGTTCTCTGCGTTGCAAGGGTGCACTGCCCATGCATGCACTGCTCTGTTGGTTTTTTTCCTGTAGGTTTTTTTGATCCACATGGAAAAAAAAACCCAACAAACTGGAGCAGTGCATGCACGGGCATTGTACACCACTGAAAAGTAGAGCCAGCCCACCTGAAGCTATGCTGCAGCTGCCAGCTAGGCTCTGCCCAACAGGATTACCGCTGCTGCAGCCTGGGGAGGCCCCCAGGACCCCAGGTAATGCTGCTGGGGCCAGCACAGTGCTGGCCCAGGCCTCCCTTATTGCCCCTGGAGTAACCAGCCACATACTAAAGCGCTTGCAGCATGTGGTTTCCCCGGG